GAAAAAACTTTCTAAATCAATCCTTCCACAATCCTAGGAATATATACAATTCTATTTTCAGATCTGAACCAGTAACCCCACATTTTCCAACAATAATATTAGTGAATTCAGAATCCCAAATTCCCCTTTAGAAGCCCAAATTCCAATTAAGCCCATTCGAAGGAGAGGAAGGAATATAAAAAACTTAAACATTGGCTCATTATTAAAGGATGAAAGGTTGAGAAGAGAGGGATTCACTTCAAACAGCATTTCCCATCAAGGATACCACCCTCGGGATCCATGATGGATACATAAGATATAATATCATAGGTATTACCTGAAAACATTCTACGGGCTATCACCATTATTTTCTTTCTTAACAGTTCTTATACTCTGCTTGTGGGAAGAAAAGAACAGAAACTCTTCATCCTTCAAATAATAGCAAGAATAGATAAAACATGATGAATTTAGGCTGCATTTAGATTTTTGTCTTTTGTGAAGAGCAAACAAGAGTAGCATTTCTGCATAAGGTTACTTTGGTTTACCATGTAAACAAGTAGATTTTTTTTGTTACTTTTTACAACTGAAGCTTATATTTTCTGCTTCTGGATTTTGGCCCAACTCCAAGGGACCATTACATGGTGTAATGCTAACTAAAATCTCGGGCTGTCAAGCATGAGAATGCGGGTTCGAGCCTGAGAGCAACCATTTTGTGTGCAAAAAAAAATGCCAAAGATTAGAGCAGTATCCAGTCCACTCCTCCCAAGACCCTAGATATCTGGGACCAACACTGGGTAATGGTCTTGTTTATTTTGGCCCAACACCAGGCTTTTTGGCTTTGGAAAAACAATGGAGTAATGTGTGTTGTCAAACTTACGTAGCATTTTTTTTCTTTTTTACTATTCTTTCTGCCCACAACACAAAATTTTCCAGCCATGCAATTGCCAAGTGTGACCTTTACTTTGGATGAAGAAAAAGGGCATTTTTTTAATTTAGTATAGGAAAACACAATTCAATGCCTAGACATTATCATCACTGGAAAAAGCAGCATTATCCTAAAATTGTCAGTCAGCAATTTGGAGGACACAGTAGAAAAAAGAAATCTAGGGAAAGCTAAATAAATTTGTTCTAATATAATGACAGGAAGCCCTTATCCAGTTATCCATATTAATAGTATCCAAATGCACCATTACCATAGGAAGTGGAAACTGAAGGAAGACAATTTTGGACTCAGAAGAAGAGAAGTTGATTACACAAAAGGTGAAGATAAGAGTTAAAATAAAGTTACAATTGCCTAATCATCATCATCATTTTTAGACCATCATTATCCATACCTCGTTTCATCTGATTTCAAGAGTTCACTACATAAAATTCTTCAGTATCCATATACCTTTAAATCCTCATATAATGATGCAAATAAACAGGCATTTTAACTTTCGTTCTCAACTTCATGAGTTGACAATAAAATTCCTCTTTATATATTCCATTATACCCGGGCTCATATCATCCAAAACTCCTCCAGTAAGTATGTGCTTTGAAATCCTTTCACTAACTTTCTTGATCATGCTAGTCAAAAGTTGAAGATTCAATTCTATCACACTACTGATGTCCATATTTAGTTCATTACCTTAGTCACAATATCTTAAAAAGCTTTTCAATTACCTATCCAACAAGCACAACATCATACAATTTTTTACCAGTACAAAATAATGCAAATTTGATATGATTTGAGTTATGGCAAAAATACATGCAGCATATGGGGCTTGCACAAAAATCATTAATTTTGGTTACAAGAGTTCAGATTGATTTTCAATTTTTTTTTTAAGATGAAATCCTTCTGTCCCTAGCGATCCATGCTAGAATAGTTCAACATGTTTTGTGGAGGTCTCCAGAAGTTCTAATATCGATACTTCAATGTCAATAGACCTAAATGTTCTTCTCAATCATAGGGAGGGATCTAGCAATATCCTGCTGTGGTCACATTGTAAGTGGTTTTTGGAAAATTCCCTTACCCAAGAGCATGTTCTGGTGTAGGTGGATCTAGGGTTCCTTACTACCTCCCTTCTGTTCCCTGAGTTTTAGTAGTAACTATTATTAATTAAGAACCTTTTTTGAAGTGTTTGTTTCTTGGCCTAACACAGCTACTGCAAGGGATCCGAGCTTCCTATGGAGGGAAAAGAAAGAAGGAAGAAGATGAACTGAAGTGAAATTCTCACCCCCAGCCCTTCTTATTATTTTCTTTATATATCATTACATCAGATAGCTCAAGTACAATGGCTACAGTTAATTGTAACTAATAATCTGGCATGGTCCCCTGAGGAAAACATGCTTAATGGGTGGGATCTGCTTGGTTAGGCCTGGGATAACACACATTGGGCTTATCATAACAGCCTGTACTGGAGTAGGCCTAATCTGGGTCCTAACAGTGTTCAATAATCTTTTGAACAGTTTACATGAGATGTTTCCCAATTGGAATATTCTAAAAGAAGCTTTGTACCTCACCAAGGGTTACAGGGGTTTTTCCACGAACAGCAGGATAAAATGTAAGTGCGACAACACGGGTAAGAAAGTCCAGTTCTCCCTCCAGTTCCTCAAAATCATACAATAATGAAAACCTAGATGCATCTCGAGCATTAAGGCGTACACCTGCCCCAGTGACAGCCATATCCTCAGAGCTAACTGGACCTGCTAAAGGAATAAACATATTTGTACCATTTAAGCACTTTGGTACAGAAGCACCCTGCATACAAAGAGGAATTAATTATTAAACAATTGAAACTAAGAGAGGAATTGGCATTAAGTTTTACTGTCTCATTAAGTACATAATGACCCAAAATTAAATTTTTATCAATACTATCAACACCTAAGTAATTGCATTGCATATTAAGATAAGAGTATGTTATTAGAGAAAATAAGATTCTTAACAATAACTATGGGAAGTAAAACGGTAAGAACAAAGCTAGGAAAGAGAGTTCCCCATATGTAACAACTGTCTACTTATGTCTGTTTCTGCTAAAATACACCATTTCATATGCCTCCCTATGTGTACGTAGACACATAGTAGTATCCAATTGTCAATCCATTCTCACTTGGTTAATCTCATTATTTTTGCTCTAGGATACCATTTCCATCCAACATGACAGATCTGAAATCTTACTAATAGCAACTTCACCAAAACACTGATTATTTTCAAGATTTGACCAAGCCCTTCCAAGGATTTCTGCATAAAATTGGCACTTATTTGTTGGACTAGTCCTCCAATTTAAATAACCTGCTTTATTTGAATCAAAGGCCATTTTGGATTATAGGTGATCTGTTTTGGAAGTTATTGACATGTGCATGTTGCTTTTGTGTTTTTCTTCTCAGTGTTATCCCTACTCAAATATAAACTACATCCATTTTGTAATTAGTTCAACGATTCTTATCAGTCGCAAAAGGAAAAGTACAATTCTCATAGAAATTTATTGTCCTGTAAGAAAATATATCACCAAGATGTGAAATCTCATTATACATCATAGTGTTGACAGAGACAGTCCCTTCAGGTTAGAGACCCCAAGATAAATCAAACCCAGAGATATATGGTAGTAGTTCTTATCTTGTTCTAGGTAGAATAAATAAGCCCCTTCTTTGTCAAATAAGAAAATGAATTCAGTGTTCAAGGATGCAGAACAGATGTCTCTCTCAATTAAGAAGTTCAGAAGATACATGGGAAACTGGAAATAATCACACAGATGACAGACCTCAAGGACAATTTTAAGTCCATCTAGATTGCGTCCTGTCCTAACATCTACAGTTGCTGGAAAAGTTGTATCATTTGCTCCATGTGAAATTGTGAGAAGAAGCTGACAAACATGGCAAGGCTCACTGAGGTAAATAAAAAGTTCAACAACATCTGTAGACTGGGGGCAAATCTGTGAAAATGAACAAAAATATTTAAATAAGTGAAAATATTAAGAAAGTTAACTCCAATTAACAGAATTCTACCATTGCAAAAACAGTCACTTTGTTGGATACTTTTTCTCTTTCAAATATAAATCAAGAATACACGTACCCATATTATATCTTTTCTCTTGAAGCTCAAAAGATCACTTTCATCATTGAAATTTGAGAACATATTAACAACTGGTTTCAGAAAGCAAGCAGGTGGCCGTGATAATACCTGTCTTAATCAGCATCAAGTCAACAAATATCAATCTGCAGTCTGTAAAATGAAAGATACTACAAGAAACTTCTTATGTGCTATAAAAAAATCCACAAGTATAACCAAATTTTTGAAAACTCGTTTATGAGAGAAATTGTAATAGGCAATGTATTAATACAGAGTCAATATGCTAGTCACCAGTTCAATTGTTGTATCAGTTACTATTGTTTAGAAAGTTTTGTTATGATAGCTGATTGAAGAGCCTCTGGAAGCAGGAACCAAATTTGATTCTGCCATTTAAGCTTTAAGCTTCACATGAAGTGTTTTAGGCTGAGACTAGAACTGAAGTACCTTCTCTATTGGAATACCCCATGGTCTTGCTAAAAACGAGGTTTTGAGGGGAAGAGATGTACTCCCAATTGGCAGTATACATTATACATCAGTATACATTCTCATTTTTTTAGATGATTAAAATTTTTATTAATGTATAGATAAGCATGAAGACTCACAAAAAAAAGGAACAGAACCAAAATAAAGCTTAACTGTATACCACCCTCTATAATTAGAACATCTTGCCAACTAAGAACAAAACCTCTATGCCTGAAACCTTTGAACTCACTTAAAGAACAATCCATCAAAAAGCCGTTGACATCTAGACAAGACGCACTACCCACCAAATATCTGTCCACACAATTTAGCATTCTTTGATTATGCTCTTTCCAAAATGCCTGGCAAATGGAAAATGAAACCATAGATCGAATAATGGACCCCTACTTCCCACTGTAGAGAACACTGATGTGGACCCCACTGCTGTGGTCCCCACTGTGTTCGTATGGCAGCATAGCATATATTTTTTGTTAGTTATGTCAGTGTTAGTTGGTAGTTATTTCAGTTTGTTGTTACAGCTTGTTATTTCAGCTTTATTATTAGTTTATTTGCCATGTAAGCAATAAGGGCAATTCGGCCCTTTTACAATTAGTCAACATATATAAATATTAAGAGTGGGTCGGAAAATCATTAAGATTTACCCTCTCTCTCTTTTCTAAAACCCTTCGTGTGCTTCTGCTTCTGAAATCTTTTCCTTGACTTTCGAATTCAAGACTGATTATAGTCTTGATCGACTACTTGGTATTAGAGCAAGGATTAGGGTTTCTCATGTGAGTCTGATCCAGCCAACCACATGAGAGTTGCCTAGGGCTGGAAGACTAAGAAGGAGGATCGGCTGATTCTTGGAGGCTACTGGTAGTGTGCGGCTACTACTAAGAAGATTGTAGAAGGCTGGGAGAGTTCTAGTAGTCAGGAAGAATTAGAAAAGGCTTCAGATCCCCAAGATTAGGGTCGTGCATCAGACAGAAGGTGGCGGCCAGAGATTTTCTTTCATAAAGTAAGTTTTTGCTTGAGAATAACCTTGAAAGAACCATCTTGGTCTACTCTGAGAGGTGCGGCTAGAAAACCTTTTTTTCTCTTTAGGGTTTTGAGAGAAAACCCTAAATTTCAGAACTGTCGTTGGCTTCAGGTCAGATCTGAACTGGGTTCATACAGAATTCTGTTTTTTCCCTTGTTTGTGGAAGACCTAGGCCGGCTGTTATCAGTTGTTTAGGTGCTGTTTTCTATTACAGTAGCTTCAAAAGTTTTTATTGCTAATTCTTAACCAAGAATGGAGTTCAAGAATCAGGGGGAAGGTGCTTTTGGGACTAGCAATTCTGGTAATATGTTTGAGAATGCATTTCAGATTACAACTGTGAAGTTTGATGGATCCAACTACTTAGAATGGGCTCAATCGGCCATGATGGCTATTGGGGGTAGAGGAAAACTTAGCTACCTATTGGGATATGTGAAAGAACCATCTAAGGAGGACCAAATGTATACCAAATGGGTTCAGGAGAACTATTTGGTTATGACATGGCTGTGCAACTCTATGCAGCCACATATCAGCCGAAACTATTTGTGGGCAAAAACAGCCAAGGAAATCTGGGATGTCATGAAAGAGACATACTCCCAACCCCTTAATGTTGCTAG